AAGTCTTAAAAGTTTTGACAAATTCTTCAAAATTCTTCAGAAATGTTCTCTATCAATTTTGCTACTTTCAATCATCTCAGGATTATCCATTATTGTATGTGAGGCATAATTACATCAATTATCACCTGTTTTTTTTTAACTTAAAACTATCCAATAAGATGTCTGGAAAAGATTAATTTATATCTTAAACATAGGAGAAAATAAATCAAGAATCCTGCCACTGACAGTTTGGTAATGCTTCCACTCAATGTTACTCTAACTTTGTTACTTTACATATTCATAAGGTCTTTTATCCTCAAAGTGCTATGTTTTGTTCTCAGTTATTATGATAACGTGTCACCCTTAAAGACAACCTACACATGAAATAACTCATATATTAAAATTGGGTAGATAACATAGTACTTCAGAATTATTTTATTACATATCATTTTATTTTTCCCAAATCAAATGTTGCCAAAAGGGGGAAAAAGTGTTTTTTAAAAATTCTTCATCATGAATCTTTTTTTCTGCAAATCCTTTTTTTCTCTACAAAGGCAATGTGAATAGGGGTAAAAGAAGACAAAACTTGACCTTTTGTGATCCCAGTATTAATGGGTCTGTTCATAATTCAATCTATGTGTGTGTGGGAGCATCCATGTGGAAACATAGAGGCCTGAGAGACATAAAGCCTTTCCCTTTAAACATTATCTGACCCTATCAGTCCCATTCACAAAAGAGGGCTTACGTATGCATATGCTGAAAAAATGCACTATCTCATTGTGCAGCAGAAAGCCTACACATTCTACTCTTCACTCTCCATGGAAATGCAGCACGGAAGTGACACTTGTACAGAATCTGGGAGAGTGACAAATGAGCAGAAGGTAAAAAAAAAATTGAATATTCTGGTAAGATAACAATCCAACTTCTGAAAGAATGCAAATATGCATATGTCTATAAACATACGGGTAGGCTTTTGCATAAGATGAAGAAGTTTGGTCATGTTTGAGTGATGCATGTATTCACCCCTTGAATCATATCCTTAAGTTGATTTCTCGTCAACACACATATTAATGTTTATAATCATTATATAATGTATACCTGTTGAAGTTGTGCATTTCTGAGCCATAAACTGCAAATAATGTACATTGGCTATTATTAATGACTTTTTGAGGAGCTCCTGGTTTTTCTAGTGATGAGTTCAGCTGTCATCCTGAATTCTGTGTGGCTTTGAATCCACCTATGTTATTAAGGAGAACTCCAGAGCACTTTGCACATAACTGTCACTTGAAATCAGCGGAAAGGGTGGCTGCCTTTATGTTAGCAGTGTCTTCTGGCATATAACATACAGGATGGTCTCAAAGACAGATCAGTGTTTCACCTTCAGACCAACAAATTTTCTAATTAACAACACACTTAGATGAACAAGAAAGGGGTCAGAGAGATCTAGATGCATATTTTAAACTTGTTAAAAGTTCTTCTTTGTTTCAGTCCCAAGAATGCACTGTTTTTCAGGTTAAGAAGCTAACTCAACCTTGATTTGATGAAAAAAAAAAAAGCCTGGAAAAGACATGGGAGCTGTGAGCAAAGTTAAGTGTCTTTTGATTTGGAAGATGAGCCGCAGCCTAACTACCAGACAACTTGAAAGTGTGTAACATGTCTTGTTCCTAGCACTTCCACATTTTTCAATAATTTCCTAGAACCTTTCCAATTTGGAAAACATTTTGAGAGCAGAGCTATCTTGTTTTCAACCAGAGGTCTTTTATGTGCTGCCTTGAGGCCTAGTCAACAATCTAGCATCCATATGCACTCTTAGGGGAAGGAATAATTGAAAAGAAAGACATTTTAAAGGTCTTCCCAACTCACCTATTATTTATTTAAAAAAATAAGCAAATAATAAATAACTTCTAAAATAATAAATTAGTCATATTGTTACATTATAGTTATGACTCATTTCTTATTAATAAGTTAAAAGATTAGATTATTAGCTATACATTTAAAAAATATCCTCCACAATTATAAAAAACATTTTACCGGAGTTGGAGATTTTTATTGCATTTTCATGGTAAGTTTAAAACGAATCTTCCATCTCTTATAAACTTTGGGAAGTGTAAATGTTTCTCTCGATAAATTATTATAATTAAAATTATCTATAACAACACAAGTTATTATAGGACATTAAATAGGAAATTATCCAAAAGATGGACAGATTAAGTATTTTCTGTTTTTTAAGCATTATAATTATTTTGCCCTTGGATATTTTATGCAAAATTAAAATAGCTAAAGAAAATGGGCATTATGTCAAATATATCATTTTTAATGCTACTCATTAACATTAAAAATGAAAATTATCTTTCCTGGAAAATTCAATAGTATTTATGATTGTTTGTCATGCCTTGTTTATTATCATTATCTTTACATTTATTTAGCACTATGTACTTAAATGTCTCTCCTAGCAGTGCCCTATTTGGTCACTATATTTGCTTTATAAACTAGGAGTGGAAATTTCTTTTGCTTGTTTCAAAGATCATTTAAATAATACAGGGAATATGTATTCATGTGTATATTTCTGTGTGTAAAAACCTCAAAATATATATCATAGCTTATAAGGATAAATTCTATGTGATGTACTTGGAAAAGAGATTGTATTAATCTGGATTAATACAATGTAAATACAGTATAACTTACAGTAAATTGATACAGTGTAAATTCTAATGTTTTGTTAGAAAAAAACTATGATATCAAATTTCAGCCCTTGGCCAGCACCGTGGCTCAACAGGCTAATCCTCTGCCTGCAGCACTGGCACTCCGGGTTCTAGTCCCGGTTAGGGCACTGGATCTTGTCCCGGTTGCTCCTCTTCCAGTCCAGCTCTCTGCTGTGGCCCGGAAGTACAGTGGAGGATGGCCCAAGTGCTTGAGCCCCTGCACCCCATGGGAGACCGGGAGGAAGCAATGACCTTAGTGGCCATTGGAGGGTGAACCACCGAAAGGAAGAGCTTTCTCTCTGTCTCTCTCTCACTGTCTAACTCTGCCTGTCAAAAAAAAGAAAACTAGATAATAAAAATATGATTTAACCCTTATTAAAAATTCAAAAAACTACTATTTTCCCTATTTTGGCATGTTTATAATTTCTACTTTCGAGCTATCTATAATTTACTAATTTAGAAAATTTATGAAAGTAGTCATAACTTTTTTCATAAAATTATAATTTGATTTATTTTTCCAAGTACATAATTACTTATCAGGCTGCCTGTATCAAAAAATAATTTCCATTTTTTATCAGTTTGTTTCTGTCATAAGTGATAGCAGTGAACAATAGCTGACTTACTAGAAGATTCAAGATTCAAGGTAAAATTTATCTTAATTCATAAATGAGTGCTCATCAGTTTTTTTTTAACTTTTATTTAATGAATATAAATTTCCAAAGTACAGCTTATGGATTACAA